GGGAAAGGAAGTAAGGGCATCGGGGGCCCGAGGACAAGAACGTACCGAAGTAGGGTTGGAAGAGGGCGGTGATGGCGGAAGGGAGGAAGGCCATGCCTGCCCCGAAGGTGGTCCAGCCGAAGTGGGATTCGACGAAGATGGGGATCGTCTGTTTTCCATGAATGGAGACGTAAGCAAAATGTGGGATGTGGGTTGTGGTCTGGTTTGAGGGGATCGGGGAAGCTTACGGCGTCAAAGGCTGCGTAGAGGAGGCCGTGAACGAGAAGTGCTCCTGAGGAGATGAGGATCCGTGGTTGGCTGAGGATTATCAGTATCGCTGGCTGCTTATGTTGGTCGTTGTTGGACATCATGGAAGATGATGGAGAGGGCTGTCTGGTTGGCGACGCGGCTGGTCGCTGCTGCTGCTGCTGCACCAGACTGTCGCTTGACGTATACCCATCATCCTCTGGGGATGGTGAGTACGATGCTGAATGCGTCTGCAGCCACCGTTCGGCGACGGCTTTCTCGACCACCGCGACTCGCATGAGCAGATCGAGCCCCACCATGGCAAAGGCGATGGCGAACACAGCCTGGTACCCGGCGACTCGATAGACCAAGCCGCCCAGCAGCGGACCCAGCAGGAATCCCAGGGCGATGGCCGAGCCCAGGTATCCGATGGTCTGGCCGAGATTGCTCGTGGAGACCGAGTCCGTGAGCAGGGCGAGCCCGGCCACGGCGACCATGGCGGTGGCCGCGCCCTGCAGCATGCGGGCCACGATGAACACCGCGATCGTGTGCGCGAGAGCGAGGAGGACCATCGATGCTCCCAGGAAAATCAGGCCCAGGAGGTAGGGCATCCGGCGCGTGGGTGCCGCATCGAGCATGTATCCGAAGGCTGGACAGCAGACAAAGGCGACGGCAGCTTGGCTCATCAGCAGGATGCTCACCCAGAATTCTCCTGGATGAGGGTTACCGCGAGTTAGCTTGAGATATAGATAGCCGACCAGAGCATTGAATCGGCGGTGTTCGACTTACGGTCTTCATATGCGACACCGGCGCGGTCGACGAGGGCAGTAGGCATGACAGGCACGATCTTGCGCAGAGCTGGTTAGAGTCGCTGGCAGAGCATGTCCCTTTTCACTGGTGACTTACCATCGCATAGAGAAAGTAGTCCTATTGTCACATCAGCCATTGCATCAAAGAACATAAGGGTACCTACCCACCGTGAAGAACGATGTCCAGACCGTCGCGATGATGAAACCCGTCGACGACCGCCATCGCAACATTCGGGGCGGACGACGACTCATTGTCCACATTCTAGTTTACTCAATGATACTACGAAGCAAATCGCTAGCTAGACTTGAGTGGATTTTGTGGTTTGGCGAAGCGGAGAGAGAAGCGTTGCAACCATTGCTTGAAGCGGTGGCTAAGCTGTGGCTAGTTTACATTCTGGTAGGAAAATCGTTTTCGGTTTGCGGGCGGATTCTCTTTCTCCCACGCACTCAATAATGACGACGAGAACCATACGAGAACCATACGAGAACCATAACCGGCCACTCCGCCGTCGTCGCAGGAAAATGAGCAAAAGCTTACGCACATAAATATAGACATGGCAAAGTCAATAATGCAATGTTCAAGGATGGATCTGACGTCTATTCAGTCAGACGAGGGCAACAGCCGGATGTGCATGCCGAAGAACAACAGAACGAGAGAGTAAGCAGTCAATTCAACCAGAAACCGTTATCTGATCCCGGACGACGAGTGTTCTGTTGGGGATCTCCGTCCTCCGCTTCGAATGAAAAAGCATACGCATGCATGTAGTTGGGAGGGATATGGCCTGACCAGGAGCATAATAAGTTTTATTCTGTTTAGTTTCTGGTACTATTATTGACAGGGGAGGCCAGCTCCAGCTCCAGCTCCGGCTCCGTACAGCAAAGCAGGAGCAAATCCCGATAAGATAAGGAACCGAAAAGTGCGGAGGCCGTCGAACTGGCGCGGGTTTCGGAGGTGGCCGATAACGAGCGATCCTCCCCCCCCATCTTCCCCTTCACCCCAAGGGCGAGCGAAAGCTGCCCCCCAACTTAAAGACGCTTCTGTTCCCCGGTTGTACGATCGTTTTCTGTGTACCTGCATACCCTGCACATTTGCTCTTTCAATCGGACATTTTCCTCTACCTCCTTGTTGTTATTGTTTCCCTCCAACGAAAACCATCCCCATCCCCACCCCCCACCATCATGTCTTCCCCCATCACTGCGGCCCGCTACGGCAAGGACAATGTCCGAGTATACAAGGTCCACCGGGACGAGAAGACGGGCGTCCAGACCGTCGTCGAGATGACCGTCTGTGTTCTCCTGGAGGGAGAGATTGACACCTCGTATGTTTCTTCCTTTTTTTTTTTTCCCTGCTTGTGTCTCACTCTGCTCCCCTCCGCTCCCCTGCACCAACGGAACCGGCTAACATCTCCTATCTATGACACAGTTACACCAAAGCCGACAACAGCGTCGTCGTCGCCACGGACTCCATCAAAAACACGATCTACATCCTGGCGAAGCAGAACCCCGTGACGCCGCCGGAGCTCTTCGGCTCGATTTTGGGCAACCACTTCGTGACCAAGTACCCGCACATCCACGCGGCGCACACCTCCATCGTCACGCACCGGTGGACGCGCATGACCATCGACGGCAAGCCGCACCCGCACAGCTTCCTGCGCGACGGCGAGGAGACGCGCAACGTGCAGGTGGACGTGGTCGAGAAGGCCCAAAGCATCGGCATCGACATCCGCTCCTCGCTGGCCAAGCTGACCGTGCTCAAGAGCACCAACTCGCAGTTTTGGGGCTTCGTGCGCGACGAGTACACCACCCTGCCGGAGACCTGGGACCGCATCCTCAGCACCGACGTCGACGCCACCTGGCAGTGGCAGCGATTCGCCGGGATCGAGGCCGTCCGCGCCGCCGTCCCCCGCTTCGATGCCACCTGGGCCGCCGCCCGCGAGATCACCCTCAAGACCTTCGCCGAGGATAACTCGGCCAGCGTCCAGAACACCATGTACAAGATGGCCGAGCAGATCCTCGAGCGCCAGCCCCTGCTCGAGACGGTGGAGTATGCGCTGCCCAACAAGCATTACTTTGAGATTGGTATGTTTCTTTCCCCCCCTGGATGAAAAGAGGTGGTGGGCTGACAATTGGATGAATAGATCTGAGCTGGCACAAGGGTCTGAAGAACACCGGCAAGGATGCCGAGGTGTATGCGCCCCAGAGTGGACCCAATGGTCTCATCAAGTGCACGGTTGGTCGCAAGTCCAAGGCCAAGTTGTAGTGTAGTTCTTTGTTGGACTTTTTTTCCTTGCTATTGTCGTTTTCCAGCGGTTACTTGGGAGTTGTTTCCGGCTCAAAGACACCCCCTTCCACCTTTTTTGTATATAGTTCCTTCGTTGGGATAGTAGTATAGCATTTCACTGGATTGATCGGTTATGATACAGCACAAGCCTTCCAGTAAACTGGTACGGGTGCAAAATCAACGACACATCTTCGAGTAAGTCGGTGTTGTAGATCGACAGCAGAGAGTTAAAAAAGACCTCAGGCCCGGCGCCTCCAAGACACATCAAATCAGATGAATGTATAGATTCGGACCGAAAGAGAGAAGAAATGAAACATTGAGAACTCCCACCCATGCGCTAGCAAGTATTCGTGACAACAAGGGAAACAAGATATGGTACGGGATATAAAAGTACAGGAAAACAGAATACACAAGTCGGTTTTTGGTATCCGCGGAGAACAAGGGGGAGGAAACAGCCAAGGCCCTTATGCAGTAGCACGATGGTCGACCCATCTCAATCACCTGGCAACGTGACAGATAGTTTCGACTCTTCTCATGCCGACGCCTCCACCTTAGCCGCCTGGAACGCCTGCTGCACCTCGGGAAGCTTTCCGATGACCGACTCCTGAGCCTGAACACCCGTCCCACCGATCTTGATGATATTCTGCTCGTAGGGGTGCTTGAGACCTTCGAAAGCTGTTGTACATAAAGGAAGGGTGGTTAGTAAAAGACACAGTTCGCGCTTCATGCAAAATGCTCCCCCCCTGAATATACGGGCTACTCACTCTTCAACCGCGCCAACCGCTTATCCCGCAGCCGGTTCTTGGGCAGCATGCCGCGGACGGCGCGGCGCAGGACCTCGCCGCCGCCCCATTTCTCGAACATCATGTCCATGGTCATGCTCTTGAGGCTACCGGGCCGGGTGGTGTGGGTGTAGTACTTCTTCTGCTGGCGCTTCTTGCCGGTGGTGCGGAGGTCGTGGCAGCCGACGGCGACGACGTAGTCGCCGCAGTCGGTGGAGGGGTCGTAGATGGGCTTGTTCTTGCCCATGAGGACAAGGGCGATGGAGGAGGCCAGCCGGCCGAGGGTGCGGCCGTCACTGCCCACGTCGACGTGGTGCCATGCGCGCGAGTAGGCGAGACGGGTCTGTTATTTTTTTTTAATATCAAAAAGTCAGTTTGAGGGCAGCAGCAACAACAACAACAACAACAACCAAGACAGAAGACAGAAGGCAGTTGATTAAGTAAGGAAAGAGTTGAGGGGAAGGAATTACCTTTCCAATAGTCTGCGACATCTTGAATATGTCGATATAGAAACGAAGAACCAATGACGCTGAATATCTCAACACTCGCAACTCACTATCTCTGCAGGCATCAAGTCTCTCCAGGTCCCAGCCAGCCGGCCAGCCCGGCCAACCGGACAAACCTCCCCTCCGCCCATCCCCCCAAAGCCACGTGACCATCCCTCGAGCCCTACCCGCTCTAGCCCAAAGCGGGCCTAGCGCACCGCACTAAGCGAAATCGTCCGCACGGTGCGTGCCAGCCGCGACCTGCCACAAGCCCGCCCTGGGAAGAAAATTAATACGCGAACAGGAAAACGACGGACGACAATCGACGACGACGCAGCACCCTCTCTCCCACCCGACGTACTTCCCACCCACCCCAGCAACACAGGGCCATTCAGACATCATGGCTTCCGTCCCGAGTGTGCAATGCTTCGGCAAGAAGAAGACGGGTGAGTTTTTGTTGATTTGGTGATTTGGACATGGGAAAAAAAGAAAAAAAAAAGGATGGATCGCGAATACCGGAGGAAGGGCGCAACAAACTATTGGGATAAGATGGAAACTGACCTTTGCACTTGTATAGCCACCGCTGTCGCCCACTGCAAGGTATGCAAAACACCATATATCCCAAACTTTCCAAATGGCTACAACACACAACTACCACATCCGGTGTCGTTCGTTCGCGGGTTCGGAATCGATGAGTCTTGGACAAAAAGGGCATTTACAGAGGAAATTGATATCGAAATTGGAAAGGGATGAGAATTACCAACAAACGGAAAGCGTCGACATGAAAGAGGAGGGAAACATTGCGACTACATCGGAAACACCAAAAAAAAAAGAAGAAAGACATGCGGAGGAAATCGACTTCAACAATTCAGACCGCACGCACCAACGAACGAACGACACCATCTGTTTCCCACCCAACCAACCCACCCAAACCGCAAAGCCGCGCAAATAGAACATCGAAAGACTGACAATGGCAACAGCAAGGCAAGGGTCTCATCAAGGTCAACGGCCAGCCCCTCTCTCTGGTCCAGCCTGAGATCCTCCGCTTCAAGGTACATACATAATCCACCACCGGCCCCAAATCTACATGAACCCAAACACCCTCCGATCCAACCCACTACGTCGCAAGGAAAGATCCAATCTCTGACTTCGAATACCTACCCCCCAAAAAATAGGTCTACGAGCCCCTCCTGATCGTCGGTGCCGACAAGTTCGCCGGCGTCGACATCCGCGTCCGCGTCACCGGTGGTGGTCACACCTCCCAGGTCTACGCCATCCGCCAGGCCATCGCCAAGTCCATCGTCGCCTACTACCAGAAGTACGTCGACGAGCACTCCAAGAACCAGCTCAAGCAGGCTCTTGTCCAGTACGACCGCACACTCCTCGTCGCCGACAACCGTCGCACGGAGCCCAAGAAGTTCGGTGGTCGCGGTGCTCGTTCCCGCTACCAGAAGTCCTACCGTTAAACGGCTCCTCCAATTCTTCTCGGTATTCCTTTTGCCTGTTTATATCCACTTTTTTTCTTCCGCTTCCTTGGCTGCTTCTCTTTGTCACGAATCCAGGAAGAAGTGGGCTTTGGCTCGGAGAGAAGTGTTTTTCAAAAAAGTTGTTTGCTTCTTCCGCCCCCTCTCCCCATCTTCTGATATCTTCAGGCATGGGCGCGGGCTGGTAGACGGGTAAAAGGATACGCAGAATGGTGTCGTCTTAACGGTTTGTACTCTGGGGTGGAGAGAGATCTGGTGCGGTGTGGTCCCATGTCCGCCACTGGACAATTCGATCATAGAGGAAGGTCTGGGTTGTCACAGTGGTTGTATGGATTGATACGGTGCAATGCTGGCTCTGGAATTAGTATAGGCCAGGATTATCTGAAATATCACCCGATTTCTTTTTTTGTCTATCTGTCTCAGCCTAAAAGTGGATTAAGCTTTAGCTTCTGTTCAAACTTATCTAATGACCACCTGCCCACACGGGACCCCAAGCTGGTGGATATTCTAACTATCAGTATGCTGTCTTAGTAGGAAAGCATAGTATGCTAAGTTATCTTAAAAACGAAACCACGACCCGCACCCGACATAAGATCGAGGTTTTGACATAAACGCCCCTCCCATCCCAGTTCCATGCAATCCTTCCCGCCTCACAATGGACACCAGTTGACCCGGTTCTGATTCGCGCAAACATGACATTGATGCAATGCCCCCGCAGACTCGCATGCTCTTGACTTAAACTCCAAATTCAGCTGCATCGAATAAGATGCAACAGATTGTTCGATGCAGTAGACCACCGATGACAGATATGGAAGAAACGTAGGCAAGCAAAGGTCGAGAGGGTGCTTTGAGGGGCTTAAGCAGAAACGCTGTTGTCTGTCCAGCGGACGTTGCCGTTAAGGTGACCGCTCATTCCACTATGGCCATCGTAATCTTCGCTCTCATCGTCATCAGCCCCATCAAGGGACAGGATATGGAAGCGGTTGAGCACCGAGGTGGATTTCCCAGCCGAAGCATCTGGCACTCCGTGTCTCGGCCCGATGGGTACCTTACCCTGCGATTCCGCACACTCGTCTGGATAGAACCCAATCCTCGTACCTTTGTACGTGAAACGGGACATCATGCAGGATCGCGCAAACAGGGCATTGTGCACGGAGTTGGTGGATATGTAGGCATTGCCATTGTTGAATTTAACCGAGATTACGATTAGGTTGTGGATATGCTCCAGATCTTTCCGGATGACCCACTCGGTGACGTTCGGATGCACGTTGTAGAGAACTAGGTTTCTCGAGGCTCCATTGTAGATCTTGTTTCTGACATAGGGAGGGACGTAGAACTGCCGGTCGTTCCACAGCGTTTCGACCTAGCAAGATAAATGAGCCTCAGCGAGGGGGTTGTCTTCGACCAACAGACTTGCACTTACGCGTTTGCCAGCCACCAACAGGCCGTGAGTGTTGCTATGCTGCAGAAAGGAGCGGGCCGCAGCCTCTTCCACAAACGAAACACTTGCAATCCGCTCACGAGCCCTCAAGTAGACATGAACCAGGGCACCACCACTCTTCACAGCGTCGACAACGTCTCTGTAAGTGACGCGGTCGGGCAGGTTGCGGATCATCACAGTGCGTTGATCAGTAGGGGTAGCCGCAGACGCCTCGCTCCTGGATGAATCGTCGTGGTCCTCTGCTTTTCCGTCGCTGGTGGGCGAGTCGACCGAGGTGGCATCATCGTGGTCGTCTTCAGATGCAGCATCTAGATCGGAGCTCTCATCTGAGCTTCTGCGACGCGGAACGATTTCACGCTTTGTATGCCCTCGCTGTGGGGACGCGGTACCTGCTGTGTGGCCTCCAGTACCTGGAGGAGTCGACGGAGGGCCATAGATCAAGATCTGCACGAAATCAGTAGGTGAAAGCGCAGACCTGCATGCCGACATTTCTCACATCGAGAGTCTCCTGCGACAGGCCCCCTTCGAGAAGCGAGTTCTTCAACTTGGCTGGGTTATTCGAGTTTAGAATAGGATTGCGAAGCCCGCAGGACACCAGCAAGCAACGTACTGAACTGCTGCGACGCTTGGAGCTGGGAACAGCAGCAACAGCCCGTTAGTCGGCGATGCTCTCATAACGCTGAGGCTGGCTTGGTGGAATGCTTACCAGGCGCTTGTATTCGATTTCGGAGATGGTCACGGAGTTTGATTTGGACGAGAGGTTTCGGAGGGCTTGGATCTATACGGCAGCGTTCAGTCACTCGGCCAATGGAGCGATGTCCTGTACACACAGCATCAAATCTAGCGAGGCATAAGTTATGTGCATTTAGTTCTGGACCATTGACGGAGAAGAGGCGCACCTTCCAGTAGGAGACTCCGAGCTCATTTTATTATCAGGAGAAACAAACGCCGACATCGTGGCTACAACGGACGCCTGTGTAGTGGGTGTGTTGCGTGCTGCGTTAGTCAAGACCAGCGATCAATGGTCCAGGTATTGACCATGACGGTGATGTAGGGGTGGGAGGAAGGATACAGAAAAGTGACTTACTCAAGAGCAAATGGAGAATGTTAGACAAGCTATGGAAAGGAGTGAAAGGGAATAGAGATAGTGTGAAGGAGGGGAAAGCAAGCAGGAGAGAAGGCAGTCTATCGGATGTCGCAGCGCGCCACTTCACATGGGTTGGTGGTCTCGTTTGCGCAGGCGCAAACGACCAGCTCTTCGAGCCCACGCGGTTTCCATTCACCTCGTCGATGTCTCGAAACTGACCATGGATTGACTACTACTTTAGTATCTACTACCTGAGATCGCTCTAGATTGGTTCAATGCCCATTCTCTACGATCTCGGGATTAAAGGCAAGAAAAGCGATCAACTCGCACATGACCACGAATTTATCGAGATTATGAGGATGATGAGAGGGAGGTAACTTATCTTCATTTGTCCTGTGTGGCCAATGGCTCCGGATGCCCCTTTCAAGCGGCAAATCGTGGCTGCGCCATGTTCGACAGGTCAGAACTACTACAATGCCTTTGGGTCAAGTATTCCTTAAGGTGACCGGGGTATCTTGCTAGACCCCTCTTAGGCAACATTGTTCTTTGTCATATCTATGGATTGCGGGATGGCACGGCCTCGACGCAAGGTGCAACTGAGTTACTTTGCTGCTTTAGTCTACGCTTCATGTGTCTCGGTCGGGATAAAATTGATGCATGTATGCAGGTGCGTAAATAAAAAGGTAATCATATTTGAACTAAGTCCGTGGATTGGGTATCATTTTCATATCCACTACCCTTCGCATAGATTGTGTAGTATGAAAAATACCTCCTGGCATCACGCTTCCCCACACACCACGAGATACACAGGCACCGCTGCTGCTATATGGCTGGCATCAGGATGATCGCATTTCAGGACCGGTCAAAGCAGCGGGCTTCGGATTCCACCGCCTTTGCTGGTAGCAGGTGCATAACGGAGACCACTTTCGTGTTTGCTGGGGGCCATGCCTTTGCATAGTGTTCATGCTGGTGATTTTATGATCCTCTGCTTCGAAGACATCAACCTTGAATATCAAAGCGATCGCTTGCTTCGCTCAAACCACACTAGTGGCTTACTGTCATTAGCCCTTCATCCAGTCTCGCCGGGAGCGGGATCAACTTCAATTTCCCCAGGCTCATCTTCTCGCTCAGCTGGTATCTCAGCTCCTACAGCTCCTAGGTTCGTATTTCGTCTACCCCCTACTACACCCCGTTGTCTTGCGCGCCTGATCTGGATGATGTTGATGGCAATCTGGGTCACAAATATCGCCAGGAAGATGCCTAATACCAAGGTCTGCGGGATGTACATCTCCGAGTCCCGACTTTGCTCCGGCTCCTGTCGAGAAGTCTCGGATGCACGAGTATTCCCAAAGGAAATGGAGACCGACATGGTAAACGGTGTGAACGACGTGAAGACCGCCGTCGATGGCGATAAGAATGATAGACCAGGACCTAGAATCAATGGCACAAGGGAGAAGATGAGCAGAGGGACGGCTAGTCATAAGGCAGAAGAGAAAGATGGGCGAGAACCGGCCAGCCTGATTAGTAGACCATTGTGAGTGACATAGAACATTATTCAGGTTTGGATGGCAAGCGCCTCTACCTACCATTCTCGAGACCTTGACTTTTTGACCCATCGTGCAACAACCTTCAACCGGTCTCTGACACTAGTCGTTGATAACAATGAATACTTGTCGTCTTCCCACAGAGGATAGACGCTAGCAAGCCACCATGGGAACAGAGCGGGATCAGTGGGTGCATCGCCGTAGGCCATCAGGACGCGTGGATGAAGCCACGCGACTCCCTTACGACGTTGTTCGTCAATGAAGTCTAGAGCCAATTGGAATAGCTGCTGGGTCGGCAGGACTTCTATAGGGGTATCTGCAGGATCAGCACTTGCCGCCGGCGGCGCTTCCATTGTGACTGAGGTTTCTAATGACTCAAGTCGCTCTTCTTCAGTGATTGGCATATCTTCCACACGTTGTACCCTGCCAACATGATAGCCGTCAACCACCTCCGAGCTGCTTACTTTGAATCGGGAGACACCAGTGGCAATCACCAGACTTCTACCGTCTGGCAGAAGCTCAAAGCGATCAACCATCAAGACTGTACCATATTGCATAAACTCAGACCGTCCCAATCCTGGCTGAGGCCGACTGCCACGGTTGTACATGACCATGCCGAATTTCTTGCCCCTCGTCTCCATGACCCTCCGCATCATTATGCGATATCGAGGCTCAAAGATATGCAGAAAGGTAGGCATGGTAGGAAAAGACAGCGAGTTCACAAACAGGGGAAGCGTTTGTTCACCGTCAGCGGCGGCCGCGTCATCATCATCATCATCATCATCATCATCATCATCATCATCATCGGAAGTGCCATCTTTCCGCACCGCCAGCTGCTCGGGAAATAGCGTCTCCAGAATAGTCGAGATCCTCAGATTGCTGGGCTCTCTTCGGGAAGTTAAGGACAAGTTGAGCTTCCGGCGACAAACAGGGCAGAGATCACTGTGGTCCATCACCATAGTGACGCAGTCGCGACAGAACGTGTGGCCACATGGCGTAGTCAACGGATCCAGTATAAGCGAGTAGCACACTTGACAGTCCAACTCGTTCCTGATCGCATTCTTGAGCTTCGTATATGAGCGCTGGGTTGAGCTGTCAGCAGCCGAGTCCCCGACCGAATAGTGTACCTCCGACGCATCATAATCGAACCGGCCCTCTTTGACTAGACGGTAGACGCCCTTCAGCAGATCCGCCCCGATAGATTCACACTCTGTGGTCAGTTCCTGTGGTGGATCTCGGGAGATTTTCCACGTCACTGTAGACGCGCTTCCGCTGGAACCATCTCCGCGGTCGTCCGCCAGAACCTCCTCGAAAACATCGGCCAGTCGACTCAGTAAGACGTCCGCTCCACAATCACCCAGGCAATGCTCTCCGGAACACGCATCTGCTTTCCCCCAGTAGCATAAGAATCCATGCTTCCGCTCCTCGTTCGCGGGATACGTGATACCCGTACGTTGATAAATCGGCGGGAGACATGACCGGCAGATCGAATTTCCGCATGGAAGCCGCAGCGGCGAGCGGAGGATCTTGGAACAACGTGCGCATTGTATGCTTTGGATCACCGCATGAGGCAGAACAGGAAATGCGGCGGTCACGCTCGCGGTTGCTGGTGACGGCTCGGGTCCCAGCGCATGTGACGCTGCGCTGCTCATGCCACGGGAGTGATCATCGTCCGATCCGGAAGTGGCGTGCAGAGATGCCGACGCAGCGTCGGGATCTTCCATCGGAAAGTGCAGTAAGATGAATGGTTTGTGAAAGCGACGGTAGTTTCTAGTGTGTGAAAGGTGTAATAGTTTGCTTGAAATGTAGCAAGAGCGACGGCAGAGGTTGAGGCCTCGAAGTAGAGGATGAATGTTTTTGTTCCAGGTGGGCGGAGAGCCGCGGGAATTGAGTTGGGTGGGTTATTTGGGTTATTTGGGTTAGCTCCCCCGCAGTCAATCGATGGACCCGAACTTCTAATCAATGGCTCGACTAAACTCACCATTCTGTCCTGTCGGAGCCATTCTCGTCTCTATAGGGAGCGAACGTGGTACTTTCAAATCGACATTCTACGTCTTCAATTGAAATTTGGGTCTGTGCATCCGAGAGAACACCAAGTAGTTATCTACGGGCATCAACGCTCGTGCTTGATGTATATACAGTACATACGTATGCCGGAGAAAGGAAAGAACATTCGTCGTGAACCATAAGTCGAACAGTGATATGACAAGAATGCTCCCCAGGCCCATCGCTAACAGACTGAGTCATTGACGATGCAGAGGGTCGAACTGCACCTACTTATGTAGGTGGAAAAAGCAAAGTAACTGCCGGGGTAATCAGGGAAGGAAAGAGCAAAAATGAAAATGCTGGCATCCTTTCATTGCTCATGACTGAACCGTCCAACGCCGAGGCCAAAGCGATGAGGAGATTGGAAGAGATGGAATTGCTGCCGAGTACATGAAGGTAAGAGCAGACCTGAGGATTGCGCATAGCTGTTCCGACCCGCCTGGTGAGGTCGGACCGTGCTATCGAAGGCGCGATTTCGTATCACGCCCACGGAGACTCGTCATCCAGAAACTTGGGATGAGGTAGTATCTGAGTCGGTATCTGAATCATCTTCGGTAACGATGCGCCGCAGAACGCTTTTATCGAACAGATCAAGTGCGAAGCGGCGAGCGGGCAAGCGAAAATGATGGCTCTCGAGAATATTGAGAGTCTTGCGAAAGAGATGAGGCTGGTAGAACCGGTCTGGTTGCTTCGATTTGATGCTATAAAGGTTTAGAGCGTAAGCTTCCGGGATCTGGATGGATGGTCCGGACAATGTTACTTACTTATTGAGATCATTCGCTGCTCTCTTCGAGAGAACCGTGTTTCCCATATCTACTATGAGCTTCAAGATCTTCTGGTTGGCGGGATCCGAATCGAGAGTGGCCTCCTTAAACCTCTCTTGAGACGTGCGCTTGGCCTCACGGGTCCTAGAGTGCGACGGAAAGTCGACCTATAGTTGCCACTCATCAGTCACTGCACCTCTGTAGATCATCTAGAGTGGGTTCCTTACCAGGAAGAGCTTGTTGAAGTCGGTGGGAAGACTGAGGCCCAGCGAGTTTCCCTTGTGATCGAGAGCGGAATCCCAGCCGAAGTCTCTCAACACCTTGAGACCATGTCGACTACGTGAGATCAACCCTAGAACAAAGAAAGCCGTCCCTCTCATCGTGAGGACCTCCGCACTTTCTGCGATCTTCACAATATGCTGAACGATATCTGACTCCAGAAACGGCGCACCAAGTTCCATCGAGCCGACGTTACCCACGGCCCACAAACAGCCCTTGACCTTAAGAAGAGCCTCCGTGTCTTCTTCATCCAGCTGAAAATCGCGAATTGTCCAAGCAAACTCATTGAAATGACCGGAGTGCTCTAGAAGCTTGCATCCTTCAGCGGTTCGGGCGAGCTCTCTATAGAAATGGGGCGGCACTAGTCCAATGTCTTGAAGATCAACCAGATCTTCAGGGACAAAGCTACTCCTCCGTGGCTGGTCAACATAGGCACGCGAGAGGGCTGCTTCAACAAGGCCCACATAAGCATCGTTCCGACCCAAAAACCAATCATCCATTTCCTGGGTAATATAATCCAGCCCATCGAGATAATGGTAGCCCACTGAGGTGGACAAGAATCGTAGGAGCAATGGCGCCCCAATTTCACCTAAATGATCTAGCGATGGCCGGCACTTCACCACATATTCGAGATAGTGACGTTGGTTACATGCCTCCTCGAGGATTTTCACAGCCACTTGGCAAACAGACACGTCGGGATCGTAAAGCTGGGTAACGAGAAGCTTGACCACCCAGTCCGCATTGTTACCAGCAGATGCTAGAGCGGGGAGAGAAACATTTCCAACAGCGTACTTTCGTAGGAGTCGAGTCGCGAAGATGCGAATCTCCTTGGAACTAGTGGTTAGGGCTTTGGACAGAATGACCCTGAGGTGGCTTTCCTGGGTGTAGTCCATATTTCCAAGAAGAGTTTGAATCAGGTCATCTCGATCTCGAAGCTCAACGATATGGTAGAACATATTCAGCATATGCCATCGTTCCATCATAGCCAACCCGTTCGCGTCACTACTCAACGTTCCCAGTATAGCAAAGTACCCTCCGCTCAGCGTGCTAGCCATCTGTTCTTTGGAGAACAGGGGAGCAGACGATGTGAGACCACTCATGCGATCGACTTGGGCAAGACACTCAGCGACTTGCCTCAAAAATTTGTTCTCGGCCAGGTACTTCGTGCCTTCCGGAAGTTGTACGAGTGTACGCATTAGTGCACATCCTGTGCGAACATAACGCTGGTTTGGCTTCGTGTTTGGTAGCATGGAGAATCTGTACTTGAAAGGTCGATAGAATCCGATCAGTCGCTTCATGAACTTCGAGCCTTTGATAGCTTCTTCCAGCCGCTTGGGGTTGGTCAAAGGCCCCTCGACAATGCGGTGAATCAGGTCCCACTTCCATTTCAGGTAGTTGACGGTGTTCAAAACATGCGTCTCCAGGATGGCGTTGCGGAACTGCGTCTCATCCATAGAAGGGCTCAACTTCTCCTTGCCTTGGTCAACAGTGAGGAGAGAAGCGGAAATGTCCACTTCGACATTGTAACGTCCCGCGCCGTTTGGAACGCTGCGAGCCAGTGTTCTATTGATGCTGTCTATCTGATAAATTGTCGAAGTGGAGATGTCATGATTTTCGACATCAAATTTGATGGCAGCTGGCAGGAGGTGGGGCAGAACTTGGAGCTTCGCACTGATATGTTGAGGCAATGAATGATGCGCTAGTTTCAATACCTCGGTAAGGAGTAGAGTGGCTTT